ATCATTTGTTAGGTCCTAAACCATAAAATCGTTGTAAATAGTGTCCAGTACAACTAAAACTTAAGATTAGTTTTGTACGATCACGTCCAGCCATTGGTCCTTGGGCTGTTATTTTTTGTACCTAACGGATGCCATGCACTTAGGCATGAGGTACTCACCCGGCTCAAGATTTAACAGGATTTATGACTGGTTGTAACCAGCGTATTTTCGACTACCTAGAATTCAATCTTTTATGACCCTAGAGGACCATCTTTTTTGTTAACAAAATCCCTTCCACCAGGTACCGTGTCACCCCCAACTGGACCACGTGACAAACCCCTCCGTCAACCAATGAAATGTTTTAGCCGCTTGATTTTCCCTTTCTACCGGACGAAAAATGTACATTCATGTTCCGCTAGGAAACTTCACTTCTAACGCGAACGTTGTAACATAAGCATCATAGCTAAGAGCTGACTGTAAATAAATAATTTAAGGTGAAACTACAAGTGAGAGTTATTACTATCATACTTTCATACTGGGCATGCATGGTGTCCATCTGTGAATACACAACATAATTTTGGTCCTTCTAGCCGGATAAGCGACCGATAGGAGCGTCGCTGTCCATCCTATCTAACGTAATAACGAAGAAATCGGAGCGGGTGAGCAAGAAACATTGCTGCGCATCCGACATCAAATCAGCTGGAGCTCGCGATCGAGGAAGCATCGTGACCCACACATCGACATCTAACTGGACATGTTGAACGAGAGAAGTGTCCCAAGCTGCCATCGACTGCACGAACGGACGCAACGATCGAGAGAATCGTCATCATCCAGATCAACGTAAATGGGAGAGCAATCAACGAAGCATTGCATCTACACTCATCATCGTCCACGAACGTAAGTCAGCTCTTAAACTGTTTGTTAAGCTCGCTAATCAAATCATATTCCTAACGTAAATCACATCCACAATGACTAACATCGATGAAAAACTCCTAACATCCCGGCATCGAATTTTAGAACGAATTAAAAGCTTCAAAGAATTCTTAGACGTATACGACACCAATCCGAATTCGTTAGTTTTAAATTTGAGACATAAGCAAATAATCACAGATTATGAAGAATACGAGAAGGTTCAAAGTAGCATAGAAGCAAAAACTGATGCAGGAAACGTAGCTGCCGAAATAGCAGAAAGAATCAAAATCGAAAACGAAAAATACATATTATTGGCAAAGGTGCTAGAAATATTAGACAAGGTAGCTCTAGTTACGGTAGATGCTTCAAGCAATGTTTCAAACAATCGTGACAATAGTGTAACACACGGCGCAACATCACCCGCATTCAATCAAGTCGATACTCCAGGAATTCATATCAATTTACCTAAGCTCGACTTGCCTAAATTCAGCGGTTTGTATGAGACATGGCCAGGTTTCGCGGATTCCTTTCGTTCGGCTATACACAACATGCCGCGTTTCAGCGACGCGCAAAAATTAATCTATTTGCGATCATGTTTGACCGGAAAGGCCGCGGATAAAATCGAATCCTTACAAACTATGGATGCAAACTATACGGTAGCGTGGGATTTACTCGAAAAATCCTATAACGATCCAAACGCATTATTAATTAAACATGTGAAAGCGTTTTTTGAGTTCCCCGCATGTAACAAAGCATCGTCTCGATCTATTGGTGATATTTCGGATTCAGCAAGAAAGCATTATCGCGCATTAGAAGCATTACAAAAACCATTTTTAGAGATCTTTCCAATTTATGCAGTAATATCAAAGCTTGATGATGAAACACGTCTTAAATGGAAGGAAACTCTTTGCAATAATACCATTCCCACAATAGAAAATCTGCTCGAATTTTTACACAATCGTCAAAGAGTCTTAGAGGATACTAAGCCGCAAAGAACAGACAAATCCTACAACTCGTCTAATTTTACATCTTCACTAAACAAATCGCGACCTCAAAAATCTTACTCAGCTCAAATAAACGTTAAACCACCTTATTGCTGTTTATGCAAATCGGATCATTACACCCAGAATTGCGAGAAAATCGTCAATGCTACCATGGATGAGCGCGAGAGAATAGTAAAGGAGTACAAGTTATGCTTAAATTGCTTACGCGCTAATCATGAAATACAAGATTGCAAATCTAAGGGCTGTAAAAGATGTAATAAACGCCATCATACTTTGTTGCATAAGGACTTACCCAACAATCCATCAATTAATTCTCAAGCGAACAGTCTAAAATCTAATATTGCGTGTTTATATTCTAGTTATTCGAGTCAAATTCTCTTAGCGACAGCACAAATAGATTTCTTAGATCGCGACGGAAACCCGCACTCTGCTCGAGTTCTTTTAGATTCTTGCTCTCAGGCAAACTTTATAACGAAAAATTTAGCTGACAAACTGAAGTTGCCTCGGTACGATATCAACGTGTCTGTGTCTGGCATAAANATAATTTTGTGAATTATTGATTATTAAAATGGCTTTGCACGGTGTATTGCCAAAGTTTGAACAAAACGAAGACTGGGGATTATATTCAGAACAGTTGCAACAATATTTTGTCGCTAATGACGTGAGTTTGGCAGAGAAGAAAGTGGCTATTTTATTAACGGTCATTAGTACGGCAGTTTATAAGACATTGAGAGATTTATGTCATCCTACGAGCCCGCAGGAAAAGACGTTTGAGGTTCTTAACGCATTATTAAAGGACCATTTCCAGCATCGACAGGCTGTTTTTCGAGAGCGAATTAAATTTTATAGAGCTACTCAAGCGAGTGGAGAAAAAATCGCTGACTGGTATGCTCGTGTCAAAAGTTTATCAGTTTCCTGCAAATTTGGAAATAGCTTACAAGAAATTTTGAAGGACAAATTCGTCACCGGTCTCTCAGATTCCAAAATTTTAAGCCGAGTATGTGAGGAGGATGAGTCCAAGAGTTTGAAGGATTTATTTGATATTGCCATTAGAAGGGAAGCAGTCATTATTGGCGAGACTCAGGAGGTCAATCGGTTAAAACTTCACGCAAAGAAGCCAGAGTTGAGTCATCGAAAGGAGTCCACCGACGCTTCTACGTCGTCGAAGACTATGCAAAGAAAGTTTTCAAAGGACAGTAAGAAATGTTACGCATGCGGGGGCACTGCCCATGATTTTAAGACTTGTAAGTATAAGCAATACAAATGTAAAAATTGTAAGAAGGTAGGGCACTTAGCCAAAGTTTGTACCAAAGAGCATTCGCAAAATTTTGTAGTGGATATAAGTAGTACAAATTATGAATATTACGATAATGGCTATCAGGGAGTTAGTCCAGCGTCAGCGCGTAATAGCGATCTAGACTTATTTGAGTTAAGAGATAGTAACTCGGGTCCTATGACTATTAGTTTGAAAGTTGAAGGTCAACGGGTCATATGGGAACTAGACAGCGGCGCGTCTAGAACGGTTATTCCGTTTTGGCTTTATAACAAGAATTTTAAGTACAAGAAGTTGTATAAAACCGAAATTGTACTGAAAAGTTATTCCGGGGAAAGTATGGTACCAGTAGGTAAATTCCAAGTTTCGGTGCAATACGGCAGCGTAAAAAAAATACTTGACATATTAGTTATTAATACGAACGGTCCAGCTTTAGTAGGTAGGGATTGGATAGCTAGCCTCGATCTAATTAAAATACGACGTGAACCTGTATTTAAAGTCGATAAAGAACTGGAAGTGTGCGAGGAATTTCCAGAAGTATTCGAGCCAGGGTTAGGATGTTACAGATACGGCAAGATAAAGATAGAGTTCAAACAGGAAGCGAAACCAATCTTTTGTGAACCTAAGACGTTACCCTTGATCTTTAAAGAAAAAGTAGAAGAACTACTTCGATTAGAAAAAGAGGGAATTATAGCACCTGTAACAGATTCGGAATGGGGTACGCCTCTTGTACCTGTATTAAAGAAAAACGGGCAAATTAGAATCTGTGTAGATTATAAGTCGACGGTAAATACGTTCTTAAAAGATGTAAAATATCCGTTACCGCGGATTGAAGAAATTTTTGCAGCACTTAGAGGCAGAAAAGAGTTCACTAAACTTGATCTTTCTCAAGCTTACAACCAGTTGGTTTTAGATGAGCAATCTAAGTTAATTTTAGCATGGAGCATCCATAAGGGTATATTCAAAGTTAATAGAATGCCCTTCGGAATTAAGCCTGCTGCTTCCATTTTTCAGCAGAAAGTGGAAAAGACATTACAAGGTTGTAAGGGAGCTATGAATTTTATAGACGATATAATTGTAACAGGCAGCACTAGGGAAGAACATATCGAAAATTTAAGAGAAGTGCTTGGTCGGTTGTTGAGAGCAGGACTCAAAGTTAATAAAGAGAAGTGCGAATTTTTTA